CCAAAGCAAATAAAAAGATCTTTTTTTTATATTTTTAGTCTCAACTTATAAAAAACGCCTCATATGACTTTAAAGTTTTTAAATGCAGTATAATATAAGGCCCGCCCTCTGCATTTCATATATCTTCATAGCTGCAGATCTGTAGCTCTCCGAAAAAAATATATTGATACATCGGAGAGCTACAGTGCCAGCCATTGAAAAAACTATACGAGTTATTGCGCACAAAAAGGTGTGCTCGGTTCTTGATTAATTCTTCCAAATTCTTACCTCAATTCCAAAAAAAGGAAGATTTCAAAAAATGCTTTTATCCTCTATCAAGTACTCTCGTAGTTGACATCTGAACAAAGCATATTGGACCGAATTATCTTTGAAACTAAAATGGCAGTATAAATAGCGAAATGTTCGATGATTAAAATAACAGGGACAGGAGGACTATAAACAGCAATTATGAGGAATGTTTGGTTGTGGAAACGGTGAAAGAATATGTTAGGAACACACGGTTAGTAATATTTTGAGATTACAGTCTTAAAAATGGAGAAATAAATCGAAAACCGAGCGCACATTTTTTGTGCGCAATAAATATACAGTTTTTTCAATGGGTGGCACTGTAGCTCTCCGGTCTATCATTTTTCTTTTTTTTTGGAGAGCTACAGATCTCCGGTCTATCAATATATATATATTTTTTTTCGGAAAGCTACAGATCTGCAGCTAATATCAGATATTTTTATGTTACGAAGGGAAAATTTTGGACAGGGTTATTTTCGTAGCTTAAAAATTTAGGGAAAGCGACAGGGCGGACCTTAAAACGCAGTTTTCAGAAAAGGTCTGCCCTCTGTATTTCAGATATATTCATGTCATAAAGAGAAATTTTTGGACAGGGTTTATTTTAGTAGCTTGAAAACTAGAAAAATAGACGGGACGGACCTTAAAACGCAGTTATCAGAAAAGGTCCGCCCTCTGTATTTCAGATATATTCATGTCATAAAGAGAAAATTTTTGGACAGAGTTTATTTTTGTAGCTTGAAAACTAGAAAAATAGATGGGGCGGAACTTAAATCGCAGTTATCAGAAAAGGTCCGCCCTATGTATTTCAGATATATTTACTAATATATAGTATGTTATAAAGAGAAATTTTTGGACAGGGTTTATTTTCGTAGCTTGAAATCTAGAAAAATAGACAGGGCGGACCTTAAAACGCAGTTATTAGAAAAGGTCCGCCCTCTATATTTCAGATATTTTTATGTTATGAAGGAAAATTTTTTGGACAGAGTTTATTCTCGTAGCTTGAAAACTAGTCAGAGCGGACTTTAAAAACGCAGTTATCAAAAAAGGTCCGCCCTCTGTATTTCTGATATTTTTATGTTATGAAGGGAAATTTTTGGACAGGGTTTATTCTCGTAGCTTGAAAACTAAAAAATATACAAGGCGGACCTTAAAACGATAAATGATTGATCAATTAATGATTTGATATGAAAAATTTGCTAACTTTGTTTATTTTTCTCACAACCAAGGCCCATAAGTGCATTTGTTCTTTTCTGAAATTGTGTGTCCTTAAACTCAAGCTCTTTATATGGTGTACAATATCGGTATACTTTAACAGGTCTGGACGATTTCTAAATAAGGAAGTCAAGAACGATAACCGTGAATTGCTATTAATACACAGAATAAAAAAGCACTACTCCTTTTGACCAATCAGATAACAGCATTTAGACAAACCCATGAGAAAATAAATAAAACACGTGGTTTTTAAGTTTTTTGCTCAAAAGATTTTTTTAAAACAAACTTTTTGTAAACTTTATGCTCATTTGGGAATAATATGATATTTATGACAATTCTACCGTGAACAAACACGATTTGAAAGCTTGGAATACGTTTTAAGTGGGATAAAAAACCTGTCTTTAGGAGGTAGCAATCCCAAAAGTTTACTTACGTTAAAAAAATGATATAAATACGGTAAATTTTCAGTTTTTAGAGCCTGACATAAAAATCTTATCGAAAATATAACAGTCTTTATTATTTTTGAGTGTTTATTACAGAATACTAGTAGTCCATGCAGTTTCTGATATGCGAGGTAAGATATTGGGATAAAACGCATTCATGTATAATTACAGGATTCTCTTTTCTCCATGTTAAACGCCTTTCCTTATTCCCATTTAAAGTCTGCATAGCAAAGTATTCGGCGCTCATGAAACCCGTGATAATACAAAACTATATGTGTATACTCCATACGATAAACACTTGTGTGAGTTGATCTATACACATGGAATTTAAGCATTATCGATGAAAATCGGACGGCTAAGCAAAATTATATTTACCATCATATAATATATTCTGGTAAATGTTTTAACTGAACTTGATAAAAACTTGCTGGTGTGATCTTTAACCTCTGTAAACGATTACATTCTACCGTGCATTATTTTTTTTCTTTACTGAGATAAAAATGTCAAGGTTGTTCATGGTAGAAATGTGGGGAATACCTTATTCTTCAAAAGTTTTTATCTTACTTCTACAGATTTTTTGTTAGAAAGATCTTTTTGAGGAAAAAAACAAAAACACGTGTTATCTTTTTGTTCTTTTAAATTATGTTTTGGGGTGTGTAAAAATGCTGTTGTCTGATTGGACAGAAAAATAATTACGTGTACTTGATGTACATTTATAGCAACTTTTGGTTATCGTTCTTGACTTCCATATTTAGAAATCCTCAAGACCTGTTTAAAACTTTAAACTTTTTTGACAGGTATCTGCGTGATTTTATTACACTCCATTACCCCCCCCCCCCCAAAAAAAAAAAAACATTTAGGAGGGGGTGTAAAATTTTCGGATTTTTCTTGAAACCAAAACCGAGAGACATAAGTATAAATAATATATCATAAATGTAGTGCATAGAGATTTTATATGAGCAACATGTATATTAAATATGAAAGATAAAGGCATTTTATAAATCCAGCAATTTATCGACTTAATTTGGTTTGATTTCGCCAATTAATGCACATTTACCTTGTCCCGGAGTAATATTTAGTAGGCCGCATTTCATTTCCGGAATTTCCTGAACTTTTCATTTCCGACATTTTTAAGTTTTTACATTTTAAAAGTTTTCATCTCCGACATTTGTCAAATTCATTTCAGTAATTTTTCGTAAATGAAAAAAGAATTCATGCATCCGTTATAAAAATCCTTAAGGTAAAATATTTTAGATAATTCATTCAAATAAAAGACTTTGCTCTTAGCTGTCAAAGAAGCTTAATTGATTTTACGCTGGAACAGATGTAGGTACATGTATTGTGAATGTGATAGAAGTCTCACTTAACTGTTTCCTTTACTTATTAACAGTCTTAATATTGTTTACTACCACCACTAATACTACTACTACTACTACTACTACTACTACTACTACTACTAGAAGTAAACAATATTAAATGTTAAATTTAAATTGCCGTAAAGGTATCCTAAAAAATCCGAAAATGTGAAAAAAAAGAAATAAATAATGTCGAAAATGAAAATAAAATTGTCGGATTCCGAAATAATAACAAAAATTGTCGGCAGTGTTAAATTCAGGAAATGAAATGCAGAGATCTAGTAGATATAATAATTAGCCTTTGAATAGGTAAGAAACAGTGTTAACTTATTAAAAAACACAGGGGATATGGTACTTAAGGTTTTCTCAAACGAAACAATTATAGGCTAACCCCCAACTGCCCAATCCGTAGGCATGTTGTTTTTACAATAAGGGGTGTAGGGTAGTGCACCGTGACATAAGCCCCTGTCACAGCTAGTGACCCTCCAGTTATTTACAACAATATTAAACGTAAAGAATGACAGATTTCTTTTATCAATACTATAAAGAAATATATTTTGAAAGATGTGAACTTCAGTTTTTGTGAGTGGATTATTCAAACGTTTATCATGTTTACAGGAAAGAGAGTGTAACTAAATGATTCGTGTTGGACTTACGAACATTTATTTGTTCATTCAATACTGATAAATCTGCCAGTAAACAAGGCGGTGAAGGTAAATGTATGTACATTTGTATTCTCAATATTTTTTTATGATAATGTTGACATTAGTTTTTTAATTTAAACGACAAAAGAAGCATGTCCCATCTTCCCGACAGGAAACCCGATCAATAAATCTATACATTCCTTTATTTGTTAATTTCGATTTCTTACTTATTGTTTACTACATTTCTTGGAGAAAACATTAGCTATTAATACGACTTTATATCCTTAATTAATTTTAAAATAATAGTTTTTCAATTGATATCGAAGGAAACACATGCATGCAATTTGTATAAAAGGCCGAGGCCGGACCTTTTCTTATAGAGCCAGGCGGACCAAATATGATATCGTATTTGGTCCGGCCGGACCTTTAAACCAGGCGGACCAAATATTATGCGACACCGGTCGGCAGGGGATGCTAACTCCTCCATGGCACCTGATCCCACCTTTGATGTTTCGGAGGTCCGTGTTTGCTCTGCTTTGATTTTGTATATTGTTTTATGGACTTTGAGATTGAATACTGTTCGTTATCTCCATATCCTTCTTACAGGAGTTTTGATTAATAAGCATGTCGGTAGTACATTTCCGTACACCCTACTCTGAGGTAAAAAAAAAACTTTACGTCATCAGGCATAGTTTCTCAAAAAGCAAAAAACATGACGTCACGATGCATTGTAAAATGTATTAGATAGAAATTCCAATGATTCGGCTAAGGCCTACATTACGAGGAATGTTTTAATAAATAAATAAAATTCGTCATTCAGGTCCCATGAAGGGAGCACGGGAACATATCCTGGGTTGTATCCGAAACCCACCTTTGGCTTTCGACATCAGGCTTTATTGAAAACAAGTATTACTAAATCCTTAAATGATTTCTTGTATTTAAAAAAACCCCAGTGTTTTCGGTTCAATTATTAAAATTAATCATATTTTGGTTAAACAGAGAAAAAAACATGTAAGGCAGTTTGTTGTTATGTGATCTTCAACAAAGTAAATTAGTCTTACCAACAGCATTCTTCGAGGAATATTCATTACTTTGGCGCTCAAGTGCATGAAACCTTAAAATAAATATTTTATTTGTATCCAAAATGCTAATATTAGAGTCTTTAAATGAAACTAAAAAATAGGATACTATTTCGCTGAAATAAATGTATTCTGAGTGAATGCCTTATGTACTACAATGGATACGTGAAGACCAAAAAATAGGGTTAATGAACATATATGGAAGACTTGCATGACAAACTGCGAACATATTAAAATATGTTAGCCCAAACTAATCGTAGGAACAAATTCAATCCATTTATTCTTTAATTAAGCACTTGATTTGATATTAAATTGCAACTTTTTGTCATTTTTTTTAAGCATACCAACATTAAAATGAGAGTTAAAAGAATCCAGTGAAGGACTATGTCAGTCTGGTTCTGTCGATGATATGCATACATGAACATCTTTTTTCCCTCAAATTTGATGCATAGGGGACCTAGATAAAATGTCAACTACCGGGTATTTAAAAATCTTCATATACTCTTACAGACTTAAAGGATGTTATGGTTTGTACACTCAAGAAAATATTTTAATTTTATACTTAATGCAAGAAAATACTAATGTTTTCATGTATTCATGATGATTTTTCAGTTAACACTCTAATATTTCTGTATATTTATTTTAATCAAATAGAATTAAAATAAAATGATGTTTCTTTTTTTTTTTGTGGTTTTTTTTTTTTTTTTTTTTTTTGGTGTTTGTTTTTAAAGGATATTTTGTTTTGATTAAGACTCCGAACATTCTTATATGTTTTTAAGACTTTTTAAAAAAAAAAAAAAAAAAACGAAACTGTAGAGATTTTCCAGAAATGTATTTTTTGATTTTCCTTTGACGTATTTTTCACCCTTCATTTTTTTTTTAAGAAAAAAAAAACAGAAATCATATTAGTGTATGCATACAATGTAGTATATTCCCATATATATGTACAAATGAAATGTTCCTGTATATATGAAACATTATACTTTTGATCAAGACATGTAGTCCCTTGGATTTAAAATGTATAAATCGGACTGAAAACTGTTGATTCGGAAATTTAAATTCTTAGAGAAACATAAATATTGCACATAATTATCACAATAGATTCATGTATTTAGGAAATCCTAAAGAAACTAAGTACGCTAAATATAAAAAGTAAATTACCTGTAGTGTTTAGATCAATTTGTTCAAAATTGAAGGAAGCAAAGAAGAAATCTTTAAATAAACTTACCTCTTGTAATAAAGATGTTTAGGATTGTATTGGGAGGAAAGTCCATTATCTCTCCGAAATGCTGTGTAGGAGAGCGTTTCTGATTTCTCACAAAAATAAATTAAAATGTCGATAACAGATGCCTTTAGGGTTTTTCCTCGGAATATTTGTTCATTGACAACTTTAATACAAAGCAATCTCCTGTCATCCATTTGACTTAGTTCTTTGTTAATGATATTTGGAAAAATGACCTCCCAAACTGTCAAATATAAACACACATCAAATTACTTTTTCGTCGAAACAGTTTCATTTTGAACATTTTATATCAAATTTCAAGAGAGAGAGAAAGAAAGCGCTCACCAATGCCAGCCTTCCATTTTGTATCTGCTATTTGCATGGCTGGTGTTATTTTATTCAAAAAGCATTCATTGTAATTCAAATATTTTGCTCCAGGGAATGATCTACTATTTTTTACCTCCACCGGTCTTTTAAATGCGTTATACCCAAAATCAGCTATTCTTCTTAACAAGAAAGCTTAAAAGAAAGTAAGAAATGGGCTATTAGTTTAAATTTTGTATGTTTCATGAAATTCTTTAATCAGGTTTGAACACAGTTTTCGCAAGAGGCTGCAGTATAAGATAGATCAATATCCGAGCTATTAATTAGTACTGAAGTGCATTTATCTCTTTGTGCATGCATTTTGCTACATGATTTCGGGACAAAGTTGATTTGACAAAAAAATCATTTAACCCAATGATATTTTTTTTAATATAATTTGCATTACATTAGATCAGTTTTCTTCGATATTAGATATGAGATAATAAAAAATATTTTTATCCTTACTTATGTCCACATTGTCAGTGGGTGAAGAATCATCCAACATTATGCAATCTGACTTCTGGAGAAAAATAGGATATCACATTGAGGACCATAAAACATTATAATAATAATAAAAAAAGCGTAATTAATTTAGTACGTCCCATTAATGTCATAGGAAAGAATACTGATCCAACTTTTATTTTTATGACAATAAATATATATTTGAACAAGATATACTTACATGAATATACAAGTAATAGATTAAAATAAGATGTCGAAAAAAAAGTCCCATTTTGAAAAAAAATCAATTTTGAAGTCTCAAAGAAAAGATTGCTGTCACCGAATCCCCAGTCAGAAAGTTAAAATGTGTAACCATCATTCCGAGAACTAAAATTAGAAATTTGAAAGGAAATGAAATGTTAGGAAATAACATGAGGTGTATATGTGATTTAACATGCATCTAAATTATGTTCACTTGAATATAAACTATGCATTAAATTATATATATTGTAAAGAGATCGTTTGCATATAAAACGTGACATTACGTTAACAAATAAAATCGTATTTGTACAAAGTAATTCTATCAATTTAATCCAAAATATTATATTCCTCCAATTAAAATTATTTCACATGTTCATAGCATTGATTTGTTGACTTATTGATTTCTCTCAAAAGGGATACAAATCATTTTCAAATTTCAATATAACTTTTAATATGACTCTCTTAAAGAAAATATTTAGTTGATCCAGAAAATAATACATACCGACTATTTTTCAGTTGGATCTGCTACGTGGATCTATTTAAAATTTTCCTAATCAAAATGCCTTGTGCTAAAAAAAGAAACGGTACTTTCCAGGTTAAAAATAGCGCCAGCTCATAAGTTGAATGAAAGGTAAGGTATATATACATGTATATTGATAGTTTTAAGAGCAAAAGCCGATTACACAAAGTCAGTTATATGTAAAGAAAAGCTTCGAAGCATTCTTTTCCTTCTATGAAAGCACATTAAATTATTTCATCATCTTGCACATGTTGCACTCTGATATGAGTACACAGGCCGGTATGTTAGTAAATTACAGCGAACATTTGTAATGCATTTGGCCTTCGCTGAACGACAAGCTTTATTGTAACTGAAACATTTAATACATTGTAATTAGTTTTCTTTGAGAGTGTTGCTGTGAATTGTTGTTGTTTTTTTAAGTAGATAATATATTTTGGGGTTCAATTTACAAATAAAATTTAATTTTCTGATTTGGTGTGATATAGACATTATATATGAAAATGCGCATTAAAAAAAATTATATAGCGCTATATAAGCCATTTTATTACCAGTTTTTCCGTCTTCTGTGCTTCTGTTGTCTTTCCATCTCTCTAATTTTTTTCACATAAAATAACGTTTTCTCAATAATCACTATGCCAATTTAAATCAAAATAAATACGAAGCATCCTCGGGATGAGTTAATGGGATTTAAAATTATAAAAATGAAGAGATAAAGCTATAGTATTTTTGCAAAGAGAATAAAAAAGAAATTGGTGAGGTCGTTAAAAAATCTTTTTCAGAACTACACGTAATGAAACTTATACGGAAGCATCGATGGGGAGTGAAAATTCTAAATTAACAAGCAAATTCAAAGAATTGTGGTCCCCCGCTTTCGGTGTCTTTGTTGGTAAGATGTTATTTTTTATGACATATTGTGTCTAATATGAACATCCTATCATATGTCATTTCATAGAAATTATCATTAAAGTTGATTTTTTTGAAGGATGAAAACCCTTATCCTGACCGGTAAAAAGTAATGGCGAAAGTTGACGTTTTTTAAAAGTAGGTCAACTCCAAGGTCAAGATCAAAGGGTCAAAGTTGTTGATGAAAGGTTTTCTCACAAGGATTACATATGTGAAGCATGAAAGCCCTAGCTCTTACCGTTCAAAAGTTGTGGTCAAGGTTAAAGTTTTTACATAAGTACGTAAATCTTTAAGGTGGAGGTCAAAAGTTCAAAGTTGTTGATATCCAATGAAAGGACTTGTCACAAAGAATACATATGTGAAATATAAAAGTCCTAGTATCTACCATTCAAAAGTTGTGACCAAAGTTAATTTTTTTAAGTAGTTAAAACTCCTATGTCAAGGTCAAAGGGTAAAAGTTGTTGGTATCCAATGAAAGGTCTTTTCAAAAAGGTTACATATGTGAAGTACGAAAGCCCTAGCCCTCACCGTTCAAAAGTTATGGTCAAGGTTAAAGTTTTCCCATAAGTATGTTAATCTCCAAGGTCAAGGTCAAAAGGTCAAGGTTGTTGGTATCCAATGAAATGTCTTGCAACAAGGAATACATATGTGAAATATAAAAGTCCTAGTATCTACTGTTTAAAAGTTGTGATCAAGGTTAAAGTTTTTAAAAAGTAGTTGAAACTCCAAAGTCAAGGTCAAAGGGTAAAAGTTCTTAGTATCAAATGAAAGATCTTTTCATCAGGATTATAAATGTGAAGTATGAAAGCCGTAGAACGTATTGTTCAAAAGTTATAGCCAAGTTTTTTCATAGATACGGAAATCTCCAAGGTCAAGGTCAAAAGGTCAAGGATGTTGGTATCCAATGAAGTTTCTTTCCACAAACAATACATTTTTGAAATATGAAAGTCCTAGTACCTTCCATTCAAAAGTTATGGCCAAAGTAAAATTTTGAAATTTCTGTGTAAAAGTGGGTGAAACTCCAAGGTCAAGGTCAAAAGCTCAAATTTGGTGGTACCCAAAGAAAGGTCTTGTCACAAGGAATACACGTGTGAAAAATGAAAGTCAAAGCTCTACTAAATCAAAAGTTATGGGCAAGGTTAAAGTTTTTGTGACGGACAGACTGACAGACTGACAGACGGACAGACTGACGGACAGACGAATGAGATTTAATGTCCTCTAGCTTTTGCGAAAGCGGGGGACAATAAAAGCATGACCCCCGGGAGAGCGGTAGGGAGGGGCCACAATAAGGAATCCCAGTTTTACATTGAAATTCACAGGAACAATATTTGACAATCTTCTCCTAAGAATCCACTTATACAGAAAAGCTTACATCATGTGGAAGCTTCCTGGGGGTAGTGTAAATTCTAAATTGTATAAATAATGGGCACAAGGGGTAAGATGAGGCAACCAAAGGGAGTGTTATACAACAGGTATACTATTAATTGTTTTTATTATATATAATACACACGTTGTATTCCAATGATTTTCTTACATGTAAAAGGACCCCATTGACATAAGCAATACCGGCTTTCATGGTCTATCCGTGGGCTTAGGCATATTCTTACCTCCTAATATCCATGGGCATTGCATATATACAGTAAATATGCATGTATAATGCATATTCCTGAATAAAGATTATTATTCATTATTATTACCTCTTCATTCTCAGATTTTGTTTTCAATCATAAGCTAGTTTTTAAAATTAAACATTGTGGGGTAAATATAACTTTTGATGTATGTTTCAAGAGCAATGCTTTTTCTAATAAAGAGGTTTTCCGATATACATGAGGTGCTGAGGAACGGTAAAGATAATGCATGCTCTATAATTGATTCTAAAAGGTTTTGTAAATTACATGCATACGTAATGATTTATACATTTTTGAGCTGCTAAAACGCTAAATGAGGATCATTGACTTGTTTAATGTTTTTGATAAAAGACATGTTTGTTATTCAGGTGACATCAATTTAGTTTCAATATATTAAAATATCCAATGCCAAAATTATAATTCAGAAGAGTTTTAAAAACAAAATCTAAGCTCCCTTTTTTATTTACACAGGATAAATCACCATGAAGATCATTGCCTTTATTTTTATAGCTGTCATACAGGTAAATAATCACTATTAAATCTTCCTGTTTCAACTCTGAATTAAGCAATACCAAATAATGTTCATTTAAAAATTAGTTCTTTGAAAAAGAATCAATTTCGAAATGCTCATATCTAACATTTTTATCAAATCTGGCAAATTAAAGCGGTCATTAGAAACAAATATTACAAACAATTGTCAAATTTTCAGAAATATTAAACATGTAAAGGGAGAATTGATCTTGCACTCAGGCTGGATTAATATTTTGGCTTTTGAAAGCCCCAACCAGAGACAAAACCATCGTAAAATAAGATTGATTCTTGTTCAGGTTCTTATATTTCACCCAAAAATACTTTGGTGTATCAAAAATAGTCAAAATATTCAAAATTTATTCGCATACAATTGCTGCAGTTTTTAAATATACACGTATGTATGAATGAAATACTTTGCATCGAATACATTTATAATTACTGCAATGTTTGCCATCAAAATGATTATGACAAAAATAAGTAACCCTGATCGAATAATTAGATAATGATTTTCTAGTTTCCAGACCCACAGATCTCAATGACAAGATTTGATTCAGACAGAAAGGGCAGAGAAATACTCGCTGGAGGAGGTATTTGATATTTTAAATTTTTGTTCTACTAATGATTTATATAAACTAATTCACATATTTTACAGTAAATTAATAATTAAGCGTTTTAATGAAATGAAAAAACTACAATTCATTAGCAAAGAAAAATGAGCTTGGGCTTCCATATTTGACAGGTGCATTGCCTAACTAAGACAATATATTTTCGAGCATACCGTAACAAAAAAAAAAAAATAGCAGAGTAAACTATAGTCTATTTTATACACTCTATATTGTACCAACTAAAAAATGTTTGAAACTTTGAATTATTATAATGAAAACTTTAAGAATTTGAAAACTATATTTAAAATTTGGAACTTTGATTTTCTTCATCAGCTGTATGTGTAGTTGATATCACTCACTTGTTTCGATACAAAAGAGCATCTTCTATGCTTTGAACACTTTTTTTTTAAAACAGAGTAAATTATAGACAAATTGATGAAATTAGAATATTAGCAGTCCCGCTTAAAGTCATCATTTCGTAAGTTCAACGATCGATTTCAGTAAATACAATTTATTATTGAGTTCTTGAACTTTGATTCACTGTTTTGAAAACCTTGAAGTTTTGTTTGATTGAGTACTATGAAACCTATGGAATTATGTTTTGATTTCCTTCCTTTACATATATGATATTTCAAGTTTAAGATTCAGAAAAGCTTCAGAGTAAAAAAACGACCTTTCAACATAATATGTGTTATTTATAATAAAAATATGTGCTTCATCAATTTTGGTCAACTTACTTTTTTTGAATTCTTAAATGCTAATTCTGCATTTGAATTAATAACTTTGCATATTTATATTCAAATGTACCACATAATCCAGTACAAATAAATCCCTTATCATTCCACTAAAATAGTGAAATAATGAAAAAGAAAACTCAATAAAAGTACATGTTTGTTAATTATGAAATAAAAATTTAAAATATTTATTACACCCTTGCCATAGTGATTATTGTAAAGCCACTATGATAGACTATTTGTAAATTAAGATAACCCGCATTACGATTTGCAGACCTTTATTTCTTCTCGTGTCGGACAGAATCAGGGACAAACGGATCCCGATTCCAACTTTCTATTTTACATTGTTTTATTTACAGACATGATTGATGATTAATAATTTTGACTAAAATATGACGAGTTATTTGACTTACTAGTACATATAAAGATTATGATTTTAGATAAACAATAATTTCGTCAAACAAAGCACAATCCATCTGTTCATATCATTCATGGTTCATTAAGATAATTAAATATAACAAAATAGATAAATATGACAGATTGAAGCAACTCATTGAAAACTCATCAAATTCAAAACAAATCTGAGAAATTGAAATATAATCCAACATAATTGTCAAAATGACCGATGGTACATTTTTATATATGGCACATTGATTACCTTTTGTAAAACCTTTGAATTACTCGTAAAATATTTTCCTGAGAAATTAAAATCAGACTTGTTCCGTGCAGTTTATTTGTACCAGAGATCAAGATGAATTGATCTATGTAACAAACTCGTATAGCTTGATTGTTAGATTATCATTTACGTGTTTTTCAAGTAAGATATCCAAGTATGAAACAAAAGTTTCGGACTCGGTGGTATCTGTTATCTTAAACTCACCAGGATATATAGTATCGACGTAGGAATGAAAATTACCATTGCTAATTGACAATACGTCGTCGATATAACTAAATATCGAGATGAGGGCCACAGGAAGACAAGTTCATGCATGACATTTTGCAAAAATTCTGCTTCATATAAATACAAAAAATAGGTCTGCTAATAACGGAGCGCATGGGAATTCCAATAGATTGTTGGAATACCTGGTCTCTAAAATGCACATTAGATATTGTCAATCAGAAACTCAAGCATCTCTTTGATATCAACTTCAGAGTACTTGTGTGTGCAATCAGAATGTGTTTTAACAAAATAGTTTTGCAAGTGACCAATGACCAGGTTAGTAAATTTACGAGTTCCATTTTTATATCACCTGAGTAAACTCAGGTGGCCTATTGCTATATATTGTTGTCCGTCGTCGTGCGTCGTGCGGCGTGCGTAAACATTTGAACATTTTGAGCTTTCCCTCTGAAACGGTTTTACCAATTTCAACCAATTTTGGCACAACGCATATATGAGTGACGAGGAACACAAATTGTGAATTTCATGGTCTCTGCTCCCCCCCCCCCCCCCCCCGAGGCCTGAGGAGTGGGGCCAAAACCACTAAAGTTAGTGTAAACTTTAAACATCTTCTTTAGTCGTGCACAACAAGCAGTCAATCTGCTGGCATGATTGTGATAAGCATTGAATTCTCTACGAAAATTGTGAAATTCGTGGCCCCAGGGTCATTGGTGCTAGGGCGGGGCTAAATAGACTGTTTAGTGAAAATTCATTATAACTTTGAAAATCTTCTTCTCTGCTCCTGGGTATAAAACAAACAAACAAGGTACGTAGTAATGATGACTATGAATGCCTCTTTTAAAATTGTGAATTTCATAGCCCATGGGTGAGGGGTTCTGGTGTCAGGCATGCCTCTTTATATGTTTATATAGTGAAAATACGTTAATTCTCTAAAGAAGGATATGGAGATGCCGAACAGTATTCATATTTCAAAGTGCATAAAACAATACTAAATGAGAGCAGAGCAAATACTGACCCCCGAAACATCAGAGGTGGGATCAGGTGCCATGGATGAGTGAGCATTTCCTGCCGACCGGTCACACCCGCCGTGTGCTCCTTGTCATGATCAGGAAATAACGGGAAAATCCGTCGTCAATTCAATAAAATCTTCTTCTCTTCTTCTGATGTATGAAATAAATCAAAATACACGGATATATTAAATAAGTCTGCCTCCAGCGAAAGTGTTCATTTCATGGCCCCAGGGTCAGGGGTTCTTGTGTTAAGGCGAGGCTCTGTTGATTATATAGTTAAAATACGTAAATTCATAAAAAATCTTCTCTTATGCTCCTGGGTATAAAAACAATAAACGATTACTTAGTTATGACGAGGAAGGATGCTTCTTCCAAATTTGTGAATTCCATGACCCTTGGGTCAGGGGTTCTGGTGTTAGGATGTGGCTCTATAATGATTACACTGTGAAAATGTATGAATTCTTTGATAATCCTTTCCTTAGCTCCTTGGTACATGTATTATGCCAGTGATCTAAGTATATATTTATGATTAGAAATGTGCCTCTTCCAAAATGGTTAATTTTAGGGCTTCTGTGTTAGGGTACTTCAGACGGGGGGAGGGGAGGAGAGGGGAGGGGCTCATAATCTGAAAATAAAGTAATACTGTGAAATTTGCTCTTTGATATTAATCACCCATTTTTGATGAAATGAAATTTATAAAATTACCAAATTTTGAAATATGTGGCCCCAGGGTCATTGGTTCCTCTGGGTTGGTGTGCACAACTGGTGGTTATAAAGTTGAAATGCATTTTCTCTCTGTTACTCTGAACTGCCTTTAAGTATTTAGTAACTAAATAAGCATGCTAAGTGTATAGTTATGATAAACAGTGGTGCCTTATTCAAATCTTTGAATTTCAAGGCTTTTGGTTTAAAATAGTCAAACCAAATTCTGTTGTTGGAAAGTTGTTACATGTTACTCAGGTGTCCTATAAGGCCAGTTGGTCTCTTCCTTTAAAAAAGCGGCTGTAAATGATATCAAAAAGTCTAGACATTATTTATCGTGGGTAAACTTTTGAATTTTGAATTACTATAGTCACTTTGAAAACTTTGGAACTTTGATTTACTGTAGACTACTATGGTTTCCTAAAGTATTTTTATACCCCCCGCTTGAAAAGTGGGAGGGTATATAGTAATCGGGATTTCCGGCCTTCCGGCCGTCTGTCTGTATGAACGTCCGTCCGTTCGTTTGTTACGCTTTATCTCTTATCCGCAACTTCTCTTCTACTACTGAGTGAAATTTTATGAAACATTCAAAGAATCTTTATTACATATTGCCATTGTGCACCTCCCATTTTACTTTGTTAATCGACACGTATTTTAGGTTTCCCATAGCAAAACATGAACATTCCCATTATATGTTTACCTATGACATCACATATAGAAGCTTCTGGATAACATTTGATAGGACGAGTTATTCCTCTTTATACATTACCATAAAACGATATATCAACACATGGACATTATGGGAGGCGGGGGTATCATTTATCGAGCTCATTCCTCACAGTACCTCTAGTTCTATTAGGGATGCTATGATTTCAAACCTCTTGACTTTGACCTTCACAATTGACCCTCATTTAAAAAAAAACCTTAGGTTATAACTTCTGAATAACATATGATAGGGCGTTCAAATTTTACTCAGTATGTCATGAACAATGACATCTCATCAACAAATACAAAGCCTTGGGTTTTGAGGGTGGGGCATTATTTGTTTAACATAATGAATTCAGCTTTTAATGAAGCAATACAACAATATCATCTGTATATAGAAATTCTGTTTCTGCATTGAAATGATGCGCATGATCATTCTTTACAAATATACAGTATTTTAAATGTGCAAATCTGTTGACAAACAAAGAAAGAAGTCATCAGTCTAGTTTAAAGAAAACATTTTCCAAATTCTGTCGTATATACAATCATTCTATCATTATATAGACCTACAAGTTATCATTAAATAGGACGTTTAATTTAATAATATTTTACATTCACAATTTCTAGGCTATAAGTTGCACAACAAATTCCTATGTTTGCCTTATACTTACAAGGCGTACTCGGCTGTTGTAAACAACATGAGATGTGTATATAAACATGTAGTACTTATAGCTGCGTCTCCAACTTCTTATGTACAAGAGGTGTTCGCTCTTCACTAAACTTTAATTTAAGGACTAACAATTCTTAGCTTCATCACTGTTTAGTATCCATAGATTTAATGACGAACGTAAAATTCTGAATTTGCAAATTTTTAAAGAGCTTATAGAATGAATTTATCAACCTTGAATTGCTTAATTACTTAACGAAACAATATGTAAAAAAAAAAAAAGCATTGGGTGTTTTGCATGATGTAATGAAAAGGATTTCTCTACTTGGAATGCTTAAGTTTTCGTAATTAAAAATTTATGCATGAGTTACAATGGAAACGCATTATAAAATATATTTTGTAAAATCCCCTACGATTTGTGGTTGGATATGATTCTATCAAACATATCGCTGTATAATCTTTTTATCACATGTTTCATATTCTTCACTATCAGTCCTTTTGTTGTTGTTGTTGTCATATAGGTACATAATGTAGTTTATTTTAATCCCTATTAGGACGTCACAACTGTCGGACATAAACAAATCTAATGAGTGATTTCCCTGAATAAACATGGGATAAATTTAAGTTCTTTAAATTAAAATAGCTTTTTACAAAATGAAAAAGAAGCAGTTTGGTGCTTTATGTAAGAAAACCATTTGTTATTAACTCTTTCATTGAACAATGCTCACCTTCCTAAGATATTCACATTAATAGTTAAATCTAATATTCAACCCTAACTTCATAAACACATCGAATTGCATACGTTATTTGAACCTTTTTCTTCTTTGGTTGGGATTAGGATTATAGAATTAAAGAGTTGCTGTTGTATTGTAACGTTTTGTATGTTGTATAAATATTTTGTAACAAGCTTGATCAAAGTATGGTGGTTTAAAGATAAAAGCTTTCATGTGTAAACAACTATTGATATATGAGTATGAAAACCACCATAAATTCATTTTTGTTTTGTTTACAGTAGAAATTACTTTTAGCGAAGTCATTGGGATCTATGAAATTACTTCGCTATTACCGTAATTCTTTATATCAGTATATATAATTAATTAAATTTCCATCGCTGGGTATCCTAGATAACTTCTCTTTACCTGTGAATTCGAAAATATATCAGTATTCGTACTAAACGAGTTTTACAGTACTTATCCTAAATCCGATCACTTGGTCCAATTTTTTCAAGTATTCCAAGGTCGGTTTTTCACAGTTATATTAAGGCTGTTGTTTCTAGTCTATGTAAATTTAGGATTTTTGTACACATACATTTTAAAGAATTAGAGGGAGATATAGATATAAAGAACAACAGCTTTACCGGAAACAGTCCTTTGATGCACTTGCATTTCTTGTCGGAATTATATAATCTCTATTTACTTTTAAAGGTTTTAAAATTTCAATTCCATTTTAATCCACATTTTGTTATTTGTGTGTGTGGGGGGGGGGGGATTCAATAATTATCTAGGCTACTCAGACATATTTATTTATTTCTGTTTTTAGTGCATGTGTTTTTATTTTCATTAAATAGTCGTGTCAATTTTTATTTAGATGGTGAAGCATTGGATCTCTGGGAAAAGTCTATAAATTTAGAAAGTTTTCCTTACAGTTTGAAGTCAATTTCACATGGTAAACTTTCCATCTTTCTCTTAAAATATCAACTCAGTCATGTCAATTTATTAAAAGTCTTTCCATATCATTTCAAAAGATTTTATTTTGTGTTTTGTATACATTGTAATCAGTATTACGTTTTTCTTGCATTTTAATTAGTATTATTTATCATTTTCCTTTAAGATACATATGGTAGATCAAACAATGAAAACATACAAAGATCTGATTTTGACGAAATTCATCTTGGTCGTATTTATGAATTCCTTATCTCACGGTAATTACATATAACAAACTATAGATTTCAAGATGATAATATATATGTATCAATCATTCAAAACGACAAGAACGATTTAAGTTTAGCGCTTTTTGTATCATTTTATTCAGAACAGAAATCCAAAATACAATTCTTTAAACCTTTTTGTCTTTTTTTGACGTAGAAGATGTATAAATTTTGAATGTTTGTAGAGTTCATTACAAAACTGAAACAAATGATATATTCTTATGTAAAAACAAAATTATTAATACTAAATAGAATATTTACATTTTACTGAAGTTAAAGAAAACTCACTTGTAAAAAATAAGATAACATTTGTAGAAATTAATATAATCATGTTACTCTGTTATTTTTGTTATACGAACAATGCTACCCCGGATAAGTTAGAAATTATAATCGGGTTTGCATAATGATTAATACATTTAAAAGGGAAAAAGTAAAGGATTATTTTAAAAAATTCAATATTGTTTTTATATTTGTTTTTACATAAGAACATATCATTTGTTTCAGTTTTGTTATGAACTATATATTTGTAGATACCAGGATGTGCTGAGTATACTGCATTTTGGTGTAACGGTCCTGTGCCTACTAACATGTAAGGAAGAAAAATCCTAACTTATAACTTATCTCTTTGGAAAAATTAATAAATAGGACGTGAGGATTGATTTCACTCTGTTACTTATGTTTGAGTATCATATATAATAAATATTTTCTGAAAAATTAAGTCCCTACCCCTTTTTAAAAAAACATTAACCGTTCTACGAGTGAATTAGCCGATTAAATTGTTTATATTCTTTCAAGACTGTTTCAAGTTTTAGACCATCTTCTCTCATTTTCATGCCCGGAATTAGCTTTTCAATTTGATTTCACAGACATAATAACACCTCAAAAACATGGCTTCTTTGTCAATTGTATACAAAAGACAAATTATTTTGTAGGTAGGCAGCTTAAACAGCAGATCTCAGTGGCATTCACTCACAAAACGCCTCCTAAACGGCCATTAAGCAAATATTGCCGAGTCCATTCAAAGCATGGAAAAAGGACAAGGAACCAGAAAACCAAAAACAAAAGGTTTCATCATCTGAAGGATTCTAAAATGAGCTTGCCCACACCTTATGCAAATGATTTATTAAAACAAATTCTTGAACCAGAGCAATCGGTTCATATTGTAAAAGAATTGAATTCAGGAGTCAAATATCATATGCAAAATCAAACTGATTGTGAACTGTTTTCAAATGGGGAAGTAATTGAACCCACCAATATAGAAAATGTTTATCCGCTTCAACCAATTGAAAAGAGCATGACAGTACATGAAAGCTTTGACGTCGTCCAGCCTGATAATCTCGACCCTAATGTTAGTAATCTTGCTCAGTTTGACAGTTTAGAGGAATTTTTGGATAGCTACCGTATCAACACAAGCTTTGCAGCTGAACCTGAGAAAAATACTAAAATCTGGTCAATAACGACACCAATAAATGAAAAATGGAATTTTCTCATTGATGAAAATCATTATGAGGACACCTATGTGAAAACAATTTTTGAAAGTACGTCACTTGAATCTCAAGAACATGCTAGTAATTACGTTAACTCTACTTTTCATAACCACATAGAAACTCAGTCGTGCCCGCTACCTGCCAGAAAACAATCCTCGTTTGCAACCCGCAGAAGTATTCAAAGCACGTTTGCTCCACAGAATTTTGTCCCCGAGTCAAATGAATGCGCTGTAAGTAACGGAACATTAAGCGTTAACACACAAGAGAACGAAAGGGATCATCAATTCTTAGGAATTATGTCCAAAAGCTTAACTAATTTGCAAGACATTCTAGAAAAAAGTATAAGTTGTTCTACCAAAACAATAAATGATAGTGAAAATAGTGTACTTAGTTCAGAGGAATTGGATATTGTGCAATTATCAGGTACCGCTTCTCAAAAATCAAATGGATTTTTAAAAAAAGATATCATTGAAATCAAAGGGTCTAGAACAAAAAGTATTGAACTTATTGTGAAGAATTTCTTTAGGTCTAGTTATTTTAAAAACAAGAAATGGTTCCACAGAAAACGACGTAGACTGAGAAGAATAGTTAGATATTTACTCCGTTTCCGTTCTTCTCCTTCACGTAGGATAAGACTAAGTATTCCTCAGCCAGAAATTGAGCCTCCTGAGCAACCAGAAGTTGTACATGAACCCCAAAGTAATCACATTCCTGAAACTCGAAGAAATGAAACAGAAGAACATTCGATATCAACAGATGAATCCTCCAGTCACAATTTAGAATCAAATAACAACACTCATTTTCCTTCGAACTCATTTTTTAGCGAGTTAACACGGCTTAGCACATTCAGGACGTTTCCGAATGCTACCATTTCAGCAATACGTCTTGCTCAACATGGATGGTTATATACAGGGGAAAATGATATGACGGAATGCTTCAGTTGTCACTCACTTCATTATAACTGGCAAGAAAAAGAAAATCCTCGTCTTTTCCACAATAGAAACTGCAGGTTAGTAGAAAATAATCTTTACATGCAGCTGCTACACTGTAAAAAAGTATTTTAATCGAATATTTTGTAAATGATATTTTATTATGCAGGTTCATCCAGGGAACATCAAAGAATGTACCAATTAAAAGAATGCACGGAGTAGTAGCCCAAGAGGGCTCGTCTTAAGTATACAATGGAGATGCGTCGCTTTTTGGCAGAAAAACAATTATGCAAACACTTCAGCTGACTATGTTTCATGACTATTATACTCAAGCTTTTTAACCTAGAGAGGAGGTTGTGGATAAATTCAGCAGTCATTTTACGCAATGAACATGTAGAGGAACGAATATTTAAAAGGTTTTTTAATTGCTTTTCTTATCTTTAATGTTAGAATCTCAATAATAAATTTCATGAAAAAAAAACCCAGAACTTTGGCCTTTCGATTTTCATCTTTCGTTACTCATGCAGAAATGTATTGGAATTTACATTGGTTATTAACATATGATTTTTGGATTCATATGAAAAAGAATTTGCGCAAAGTCGTATGTATGGGGAAAAAAACTCTTGTAATACTGAGTAATGACCTTCTACTTGACATTTAGATATATCGATGATGTATCGTCATTTGCCATTGGTAATTTCCATTCTGATGTCGATACGGTATATACTGATGAACTTGAGATAAAAGTTACCACATACTATGACACATCCGTTTCATACTTGGATATTTTACTTGATAAAGAATTTAATGGTAATCTAACAACCAAGCTATATGATAAACGTGATGACTTTAATTTTATATGCGCCAGAGCAGATATATCGACGATGTATTGTCAATTAACAAGGGTAATTTCCATTCCTACATCGATACGATATATCCAGTAGAGCTTGAGATAAAAGATACAACAGAGTCTGGCACATCTGTTTCATACTTGGATATTTTACTTGAAAAAGACGTTAATGGTAACCTAACAACCAAGATATATGATGAACGTGACGACTTTAACTTTTCTATCGTCAATCTCAGTTGAATCGATACGCAAGAGCATGCTCTACGTATGAACATTTTCTAAAATGATTTAAATTAATGACAAATAAGTTGATGAAACATATATATCAGCAGTCTAGTTTAAAATCTTTTTTTCGAAAGTTTTGTGGTCGATACCTTAACCCTGCCAGCAAACACAAATTATCATTGAGTCAAATACCGACTGAAGATCTTCGTACTAAGTGTTTTTCCACTATTTATACACTTAATTAGCGATGGTTTTCCCCACTGTTTCCCGATCATGATAAGAAGCACAAGGCGGGCATAACCGATCAGCAGGGGATGCTCACTCCTCCATGGTACCTGATCCCACCTCTGATGTTTTGAAGTTCCGCATTTGCTCTGCTATTTTTTTTGTTTCGTTTATGAACTTTTGGTCTTGAATACTGTTTGTTAGCTTCATATATTTCATCACTTTATATTTAACTATATCTATATATGTTTTTGATCAAACTTTCTTGATTAAAGTCATAATTTCGCAGTTTTTTGGTAAACTTAGTATGTCATCAACTGATTGAATAATGATTTTTCTACTCTATGTTTGGTTATTATTAACACACAGATTTGACTGTTCCTTTTCCCCGCTACAGCAAGGAGAACAAGGCGTCGTGACGTCTACAGAGAATGCTTATTCCCTCAAGAAACCTGATCCCTCCACTGAATTTTATTCTGCTCTTTATATTCTTCCTATATCATCGTTCGGGAGAAAAGTCTTTTAATATCACTATTCATTGAAGTTCTTATATAATTGAAGTCCTAATAAACACGTACAAGTTCACATCACATACCAAGAAATAAATAAGATCTTTAAAAAGAATTTGTATTTTTTTTTTAATTGTAGGCAAATATTTTGCAAAATATCAATACAGTGAATTTATTTTAAAAAATGAGAAAGAAAGAAAATTCAATAAAAAAGGAAACCCATCAAAATTCTTCAATGCAGTTTACAAAAATAGATAAATGTCCTATAAAAATAAACAATTTTCGATCTTTTTCTAGAGATGGAACTCTTTTATAATTAAAACACATTTAAGTGCAAATTGTCAAGTGACACGGGGCACTTTAAAAAACACATAGCATTTTGATTCCGATGATCTGATTCAAAAAGTAAACTGGCGATGGTTAGCAATACATTTGATTGTTAGCAGGTTTTACGCATGCAACAAGCTGGATGGACCCATCGAGCGAAAAAAATGTAACAAATGTAAACGTTTTAAGACGTTCATTGGTAAAATAAATACAAATGAAAAATTGTAATACTTTTCCGTACTATATTTTACGAATATTTCCATAACCGATTGATTTTTATCGCGTATCCCAGTTTCCCTAGTTAATGTAGTATAGTCCAAATTCTATCAGAATTAAGTTTTATTTGCCTGATGAAAGGAAAACAGAATTTTGAATAAGTATAAAGAGGCATTTTTTCTTTTTCATGGGTTTAATTAAAGTTACATTTTATAAGTTTTTCATGGACATGTATTAAAATACCATTCAAAGAGTGATTGATTAAAAAAAATAAATAAAATAATAGAATCTTCAAAAGAATGGTAATTTCGGTTCAAACATTAATCTTTAAACTTTCAACAGACGTTTCTTTTTTTTTTTAATCTTTCTCTTCAAACAGAACATTATTGTGAGTGTGCACACCCAATTAATTTCGTTGATACTAAATATATTTTCCGCACTCCTTTGCAACTGAGAGATTCGAGACAAAGTAATAAGGTAATTTGAAAATGGCCCGTCACAAATTGGCACTTACACAAAGTTACGAAGTCACCCTACGTGACATTGTTAATATCACCTGTGTTACCATTTAGAGCAGTCCTTAAACTAAAGCTGTTCTTTCTATGAAGTCCAAAATGCCCTTTGTAAGTTCATTTCACATTAAAATAACAGAAACAGGATGAATATATATAAATGATGAAATTTATCACAGCAAAATCCTTCACTGGTTTCAAAGAATCACAATGGACCTACAAAAAAAAAGAAAAAGTATCTGATTAAAAAATTTGATTGAACTCGAAAATTGACAGAGAGGTCTTTCCTGATGGCTGAAGTTGGACGTCAAGATATTCATGAAGGCAGATATACCAGGACTGTCCACACGATCGTAGACTAGCACCATTAAAATAAAGGGACAAAGACACAGATTTGAAGTTAAGGTATATCACTCATCAAATTTGTTAAATCAAGGATTTTTTGAGAGGCATATTTTTTATAAGTACTCATATAGTGTAACTCAAAATCGCAGAGAAAATAGGGAGTCGGTACACGTGCATCTTACTAATCTACGGTACAAGTAAGTTGACCTTTTTGCACTTAAATTTTAACTCTTTTGTTAATTACTTTAATCTATATTATATGTTAGCAGATGTAACAATGGCAATAAACATTATCTAATTTTAAGTAAAATGGTTTGAATAATATTTATTACTGTAAAAATCTTGCAAATTAAAGTATGTCACCTGTCAACCTTTAAAAAAGTTCACGCAGAACCTCTTACTTCAAAACTATTCATTAAAATTCTATTTTTATAACATTTTTTAATTCACAATGTAAATGTGTAACATTCAACGAAAAAACGGCTCAAAAAGCTACATAGAAGCAATATTTAAGAGGGACTATTTCTTGTGGTGGAAGGATATTTAGCAGATGAATCTGCAAATCAGCACATTTATTAAATCTAATATCCTGGAACTTTAGCCTAACATATTTTTACTCGGAGAAAATTTCCGTTATGATATTGCTAGGAATATTTAAAATAGGTCTTATTTAATATTTTTTGAAAAAGTTTTACATTTTCCTTCAACAAAATAGAAAAACGAGGATATGTCAAATAAATCAAGATAAGATTTACATCATTTTTCGCCAGAAAAACACATTCTTTGACCAATATTTCAAAATAAATTACCCTGACCCCAACTTTTTCTTTCATTATTTTAAGTCCTCGATACTTATGACTGATCAGCACTTAAGTCGTAAAAAGCTTGATTTAAGAAAATGTTTAAACGCCTATTTAGTTTTTCAATACCCTAAATACATTACTTTTTAGTGGAAAAAGGTCACACAATAATTTACGCGAAATAATTTGAAAGATTTGTTCAATGATAAATATCATTCAAACTATTTTACGTAAAATAAATTTTTTTTATTGCCATGGTTACATCTGATGAAATTTGATAAAGGTTAAAGTTTAAAGTAATTAACAAAAGAATTGAAATTTAAGTGCAAAAAGGTCAACTAAATTGTACCGTAGATCAGTAAGATGCACACTGACCCCCTATTTCCTCTGCGATTTTGAGTAACACTATATGACTACTTATCTAAAAGATACTTGATTTAACAACTTTCACGAGTGACATATCTTAATGCGCGTAAATTTTTATACTAAAAAGTAACATGTTTGGGGGTATTAACAACTAAATAAGCAATAAAACATTTTCTTATATCAAAATTTTTAAGACTTAAGTGCTGATCAGTCACAAGTTTTGAGTAGTTCAAAATAATAAAAGAATAATAAAAGAAAAAGTTGGGGTCAGTGATGTTAATTTTGAAATATTGGTGAATATGTGATTTTCAGGCGTAAAATTGTGTAAATTTTATCATGACTTCTGGAACATATCTTCATATCTTGGCAATTAAAGTTTGTTGAGGGAAGATTTAAAACTTGTTCTGAAAATATAAATTAAGACCTATTTCAAATATTCCTAGCAATATCCTATCGGAAAATATTCTCTTAGTAAAAGTATTTCAGGCTAAAGTTCCACGATATCGTTAGATTTAATGAATGTGCAGATTTGAAGAATTTCTGCTAAATATCCTTTAACCTCAAAAATAGTCCCTCATAAATGTGGCTTCTTCGTTGTTTTTGAGCAGTTTTTTCGTTGATTTTAAAAAAATTACATTGATGAATTTTAAAACATGTCATAAAAATTCAATTTTAACAATAGTTTCGAAGTAAGAGGTTCTGCTTGAACTTTTTAAAAAAGTAATTCTGCATAATATCATGACTTTCAGACGAAAGTATAATAAAAATGTGCCCAAAAAATAAGTTTAGCTGAAAGTTATTGAAACTACGAATTTCGAGACGCGTTTGATTGAAACATCCTTGCACTTTCACAAAGTAAACTGTATCGTCTGTATCCTTTTTGAAAGAATGGACTACATGCACATAGATTTGATTTAATCGCATCAATCCATCTTTTTTTAAAAATAACATTTCCTATGAACAGACAGGCAAACTGTAGAACCCTTGCATTTTTAAAGAACTATCTATTAAACTAAAGTTAT